GGCCTACTGGCCTTTATCTGTCTATTTACTCAGTCCCATCTATTGGTCTGTGTTTGTTGGTCTATGTTTGTATTGTGCACTTTATGCGGATTGTTGGAGGTCGTCACTGATCTGTCCTACTTCTTTATTCTCTCTGTGTTGTCTTTGTCTACCTTGTTGTCTTACCCCAGCACTTAATGGTCGTTATTGTGTCGACCTTCCTCTCTTTACACAAACTAACAGACAAACGAATTAGCCCTCTGTCTCAATGGCTTCTGTGTAATAATGACTACAGGAATGGAGAGATGTATAGACAGATACTTAAAAGAAAAGAAGAAAGAATGCCATGAATGCCTAGATATTATATTTGTCTGTCTGTTTCCTGTTTGTTGGAGCAGACTTTGTGCTGTTGATGCTTGAGAAGTGAGCAGGGTAAGCTGGATTCCCCGTTTGGACTTCTCTGTTGACATCCACCCCTTGGCGCTCATATGACCTTATGCTGTTGCGAGCACCGTAAAACCTTACTAAAGCTAAAACAAACATGTTTGTTTGCCCATCTGTCCACTTGTTTTTATGGGGGTTGCTCTCGGTGTGCACATTACACATGCAAGAATGTACCCGTCGTTTGATGGAAGCGGAAGTTTGGAGATTTCCACTTTTAGGTTTCTCAATCGTTTCTTTCCGTCTGTTATTTTGGTCTGTCTTGCTTTTTTCTGCACTAAACAACCATTTTCTGTGTGCCGATGTGCTTCTCTTTACCAAAATTAAAACTGTGTCAAACAACAACAAAAATGGCACAGCAATGAAGAAGCAACCACACAGAGAGGAATATTACACATGTCCAAGGTTACCACGATCAATACATAATAATGATGTCCAAAATTAGATTCTGTAATGATATACAATACTGATTTTGCAGTTCCCCTAAACGAGAGAGTTGATGTTGGTTATTCTTCTATGAAAGTGGTATGAAGGGGAACAAGTGACTGGGTAGTCAAGGGTCAAACACGTAGCGTTTGTGGCAAAAGAAACTTACAGATCGATTCTCTCTTTGTGTAGGCATGATCGGGTGTAGATAACTTTGTTAGAGGAGTGGTTTTTTTACACCCACCCACCCTATCCCGTCCTGTTATCGTGCCGATGTGCTTCTCTTCATACTGAATCGCACAAATCAATGACACTGAACGTTGAAGACCAACATTGGACTTCTTCTTCTTCTCGTTCACCTTTAAATGAACATCCCAGTCTCTAGTGCGAAGGCTGCTGTTCGTCGCCGGTCGTCCAGGCTCCCGTAGAGCTTTGGGTCCCTCTCCCTTGGGTTGAGCTAAGGATTTTACCTTACACCTCCTTGGGTTGAGCCAATATTTCTTTGTAAGTGCCTCGAGTATAGAGCAGGCGTTTTGCAGATGGTTTCCTCTGTGATTGCCGGTTCCTCACTGACACTGCTAACAGTGGGCTATTCCAGAAATCTCGTGAAAAAGAGTAGAAGAAACTATAACAATAACGTTGCCCCTAAGCAGGTATAAACCCTTTTATAAAGCCGTGAGTGCTGGACGATCTAAGGTATTGGAAATTAACCAAACGCATTAAAAATGTGGTTCCTTAATTCACGGTTGGGAATCTCATAGAAGGAAAAGAAATCAAAGGAGGAAGTTCTAAAAAGACACTAGCGTTGAACAGACAGCAACTAATTGAAACAATTAGGAAGAGACTAAAGCAGTTCCTATGGCACTTGAATCGAAATACAGACCTTGAACATTCTACTCACAGGGGAAAAAAAAGAAAACCAAAGAGTCAGAGGTTCACCAAAAATAAGTTGCTTAGAGAATTTGAATAGCTTGACGATGGGAAAAGGCCAGGATAGTGTAGCTTCTTTGAGAGCCTTCGAACATAGCAGTTTCTTAAGTGTCAAACCGTGATAGCCGATATCTGTTTCAGATGGTAATGGTTAACTCCGCACTATGGCCGCGTTCCCAATCGTAGCCATGGAAAAGTGAGTAGCCAATATGGTTGGGTATTATGGAGAGGGAAGAACCTCGTGGGATTCTACAGCTATAATATTCATTGGCTGAGTAATCTTAGTTATTGGTGTTCCCTTTTTAGAGGAGTGGAGCTGGAGCACTGTGGTTACTGGGGAGAGAAGGGAATTTTGAATTAAACGCTCGTGCATTCCATGTCTACAATGTTGTGATGATCGTCTTGTGAAAGGAGGCACTCGTGGTAGATTCCAGAGTGCACATTATACAATAACGACAACTACAGCAACAACAACAACTATAAATATGTGCCTTCGTTTGCTGAATACTTTTGTTGTTGTCTGTTATCTGTCTGTCTGTCTGTCTGTCTGTCTGTCTGTTTGTCTGTCTGTCTGTCTGTCTCTCTCTCTCTCTCTCTCTCTTTCTCTCTCTCTCT